AAAAAGAGAGAGAGGAAGTGCAAGTGCCTCTCCCCCCCCCTCTCTCTCTCACACACACAGAGAGTGGGGGAAGAGGACTGGCAGACCAAGGGCAGAAGGAGGGAGGGAGGGAGGGAGGGAAGGAGAGAGAGAGACCCTTTTGACATCTAAAATGAAGATAACACCGAAGAGAGAGATATATATAATAAAGGTAAAAAAGGATATATGCAGTGTTATCTTCATTTTAGTTGTCAAAAGGGTTTTGCGGCTCCCAGTGTTTTGTTTTCGGTGGGAAATGGGTCCAAGTGGCTCTTTGAGTGTTTTGGGTTGCTTACCCCTGCTCTACCCATACAGTGGCGCGCCATTGGCCAGAATGGGCAGTGATGGAGGGGGAAGTGCTTCTTTCGAAACATCGCATGCTGTTTTGTGTGTCTCTTTGTATTGTACTTTTTTAGCGTGCACTCCAGTTCGATATTATATTTTCTTTGTGTCTTTTTAATCCTTTTTACAGTGTGCGTGACTATATATACTTTCCTTGAATCTTAATTTAGTTTCAGAGTTTTCGTCTTGAAATTCTTAGTTCCTGCATTGCGGTTTGTTCTTATGCCCTTTTTATATTTCTTTTTGCATCTTAAATTTCACTTGTTAATTCAATCATTAAATGTTACTGTTTTTCTTTTTGAGAAACTTTCTTGCAATTGAATTTTGTTTTCAATGGTCATTACATTTAAGTGTCTTGAATAAATAAGATAATAATGAAATACATGTATCACAAAGTTTGGGAATAAAGTGATGGGTGGCACCAACATTTTTTCACACAGTTGATATATGGGAAAAAGACTGGAAATAAATTATTTGCATCATATGTCCTGATGACAATTTTAAAGAAAACAAAAAAGTGTTTGCATAAATTGAAGAATTATTTCCTAGGTTGTGATTGAGAGGTTATGTTGGGGGAGGGGGGCAATGACAACTTCCTCATTGGCTCAAGGGGGCGATTCGTTCAAAAAGGTTAAGAACCACTGATCCAAATAACCAGGCAGATTCCTAGTAGACCAGCCAGTTCCCCAAATAATTAAACCATTTAAGGATTTAAAGATCAATATCAGGATATAAATTGTGCCCAGTAGGCAATTCATAGTCAGTGCAGATCTTTCTGTAGAATCATATGATCCCCATGCTTTGCACCGGTCAGCAACCTGGCATTTTATGAGAACCCCAATAGGCACAAAGTTGAACCATTTAATTCTTTGGAACAGTACTGTTTGCTACAAAAATCAATGATTGCTGCTTTATATCAAAAGAGCTGTTGCTTTTTGAAAACTGTAGTAGTTGCATCAAGGAACTAAGTTATAATTGTATTGCAACATAATAGCAAACCTATCCTTCACAAAAAGAAAGATTATAAACAGAGGAAAATCCAAGATAACATCCATTTTTTCATCCTTGTTATAAATGGGAGCAAGCTCTCACCGAAACCAACTTAAAGCTGTTTTTCCTCCGACAATAAATGTCAAGCATGCATTATGTGAACACAAGCATTAATCAGGGGGAACATAATAAAAAAAGCAACACAAAATAAAAAAATGATATTAGTAAAAGTATCTGTATTAAAAAATACTAACAAGACTGTTTGTAAAATAATTTTGTAAATTTATCCCATTTGCACATACTGCCCCCCCTTCTTGAATGTACATACAATCACAGAGACGAAATATGGACTCAGCATGCATACAACTTGCAGTAAACTCAGCTAAAGTACACATTGTCCTCAACTTAAAACAGTTCATTTAGTGACCATTCAAAGTTTCACGGCATTGAAAAAGGTGACTTATGACTACTTTTCACATTTACAACCACTGCAGCATTCCCATGGTCATGTGATCAAAATTCAGACACTTGGAAAATGATTCATATTTATGACGGTTGCAGTGTCCCAGGGTCATGTGATCATTTTTTTGCAACCTTCTAACAAGCAAAGTCAATGGTGGAGCCAAATTCACTTAACAACCATGTTACTAAATTAATTGCACTAATTCACTTAACTATGGCAAGAAAGGTCATAAATGGGGCAAAACTCACTTAACAACTGTCTTGCTTAGCAACAGAAATTTTGGGCTTGATTGTGGTCATAATTCGAGGACTACCTGTAAATTATTCCCAGAAAAATCCATATAGACTACTGTTATCTGGGAATAGATCTGTTCAGCCCAGCTAACACTGGGTAAGCCATAGAGGTAATCCCCGATTTATAATCATAAATGGGATCAGAATTTCCATTTCTAAGCAAGGTGCTTAAGTGAGTCCCGCCCGATTATATCATCTCTTTTTGCCATGGTTAAGTGAATCACTGCGGTTGCTAAGTGAATCATGTAGTTGTTAAGCATATCTGTTTTCCCCCATTGACTTTGCTTGTTGGAAATTGGCTGGCAAGATCACAAGTGGCGATCACATTACCTCAGGCCTCTGCCACATTTGCAAATACAATCCAATTGCCCAGCGCCTAAATTCTGATCATGTGACTAGAGAGATACTGTCACAGTCAGAAGTCAGAAGACCGATTGTAAATCTCTTTTTCAATGTCTTTGTAATTTAAAACAGTCACTAAACAAGTGGCTTTCATTTTGAGGATTACCTATAGAGAAAATAGGGGGTTATCAATATTTTTCTCTTTAAAGTCACTTTCCTCTTCTTCACTTCTGCAAGAGGGATTAGCACCTGCAATAAACCAGTACAAGCACTACAGAGAAGAATTAATTCATCCTGCCAGCTGGAAAATGGATCCCTCTCCTTCCATGTCATTCAAAGGCATTAATGCTTCCAGTAGTCATTCATTCGCTTTAAGTAGCAGAACTTTATTTTCAACAGTATTTTCTGGTATACATAAGATAGTTTCCTGCCCCAAATTTATAGAGGGAAAACTCACTACCTGTCTATCAAGTACATATAGTAAGACTGCTACAATTTCAGTGAAAGAAGTGTTCCATCTATTGAAAAATGTTTGTTCTTGAACATGACTGAATGCAATGCAATGACCTTTTTCAAACAATTATTAAATCAAGGACTCAAAGATCAGCAATTAGGGCTAAGTTCAGAACCGATGAAAAAATTTCCAACATGTTCTCTGCATTATCTCATTTCAGTGGTTGCTTTTACTGGCTCTCTACCAGAGAGGAATGGAAAATCAACAAGCTTGAGGTAGCAAGACTATTTCAACATTGGAAGTTTTCTGTGACACGATATAAAGGGAACAAAAATGAAAGAAGAGAAAACAAGCTAGAAAACTGTTGTTAATGTGAATGTATCATGTCCTTAGCTGACATAAGTACTTTAAAAGAAAACATTATCTTGCCTGGTTAAAATGTAACAATGTTCCTAGCCTTCATGAATGCTACAGTACATACAGTATATCTAGTTCCCACTGTTACAATAAAGGGAACTGAGATTGCATAGGCTGTCCAGAAAACTATGTGTAGGGAAGCTTTGCTAATTGAAGACTTCTAATGAGTATATTTAAAAGTCCCATGTAGGGGTCTTTTGAAATTAAGCATGACCATCCCTTAGATTTATAGGACAAATCTTATGCCTATTATGTACCCAATAATGAACACAAGTACCTTTTAAACCAGAAGATCTCCTCAGGGTCTGCAATCCCTAATTCTCTCAATTTCATCACCATAAAAGCACTCTTTTTGATAGCTACTTCATAGCGTTGGCTGCGAGAAAGGAAATTTACATCTTCATGGTTGAAGCTTTCCTTTGCAATAATAGCTTCTATGGAAAGAAGAAATATTCATTTTTTTCCCTCAAATATATAATACATCCTGCTAAATAACAGGATCTTTCTTATTTAAACAAATCTGTTAGAAATACATTTTAATATTCTTAGCTGCAGTTATCATTCTAGTAATCACTTTTATAATTTAATCCAGATCATAATTAACATAAAGCTGTATTCACAAAATCTACAAAACTACAACTAGTACAAATGAGTTACTTTCCTATCTGTAGGGGGGGGGGGGGAGAATGAAGATTGCCAAAGAAAAAAATGTCTATGCTTTTATTTGGTGAGGATTTCAAGCATGTCACTGTTTCTCATATTATATTAGATGATCGATTAATTGAGTATAAAAAAGGAAAGTTTGACAGCAGGATGTAGCAACTACTTTATTCTTAAAAGCCATCTCTGTGGTTTTTAAACTGTGGAATTCCCTGTGCTGTGTTATCCCTTTAGGTTTCCTATTTTAAAAAATGAGGTACTGCCTGGGAAGATCTATGGTTGAAATCTGACATCACCATGAGTGTGGAGTGAAGCCTAAAGCCAAACAACATCTACTTGTGACCTAGTTAGATTAATCCTAAATTTAAGGCATTAGATAGGCATCAAGTAAATATAGGCTTTAGGTATACCAACACATCTTGTGTAACTTGGCAGAAACATGTTTTCTTTTGTTTTGCTACCCGGGTGGGAATGCCTCTTTCTAAAATGCCCTCCTGAGACGCCTCTTGCGAGCACCGTCCCAAAATTGGGGGGAAGAAGGCGTCTCCCCTTTCAAGGCAATGTTTGTCCAGATGCAAACGTGCACTTTTAATGGATAAAAGGACGGTAAAGTTCTCGAAGGGCAATGATCCGCATTTGCAGCTACCGCCTCTGCTACTGGGGCAGGCAGCGGAAAGGGGCCACACGCATAAGGGCTGCGGCTGTCTCTGCATCCCATCCCGCCCGCTCTCACCGATTTTCTTGCGGCGCAGGGTCCGCTCTGCACTCCCGTCCAAGACGTTGGTTAGCAGCTCCGTCTTGAAAGAAGCCGCCTCTCGCTCCTTCCGCAGATCCGCGTTCATCTTCACGGCCGTGACTCGTCCGCGACCAACCCGAGAAACAACCGCCGGCTCCGGAAAAGCTTCGAACAGGCAAAATGTAGCCTAGCCCCGCCCCGCCCCGTGACGACTCGGAAGCCCAATAGGAGGTCGCTTAGCATCCGCGTGACTCTACGGAGGCGTTTCCTCTTGCATGCGGAGCTTCCAGTAGGGAGGCTTCGGTTCCATTTAGGAGGTTTTCCATTGCTAGGAGGAAACTGTGGTGGGGGTTAAGAATCCATTGGTTTTATGCAAATATTTAATTGCATCATCGACGTTTAATTTCGTAGCAGTACGCACCGGGCGTCCTTGTGAAACCAGGGCATTGGTTACTGGAATTGCACATTGTTTTCGGTCCAGGTATCTGTTGGCGTATAATCCGAGCTATTCAGGATTGCCACCCGAAAGTTTCGCTTTGTGCGCGTATCACGTTGTATATCTGCTGGTTATTTACAAAAAAAAATATCTGTGGGAAGAGTATTTGTAGATTTCCAGATTGTAAACTAAAGTTAAACTTCCCTGCCGCTGGTATGCGGTTTATTTATTTGTTCATTTGTTTGTTTGTATCCTGTTTTTATTATTTTTACAAATAACTCAAGGAGGTGAACATATCTAACACACCTTCCTATTTTCCCCACAGCAACAGCCCTGTGACGTGGGTTGGGCTGAGAGAGAGAGTGACAACCAAAGTCACCCAACTGGCTTTCATGGCTAAGGTTGGACTTGAACTCTTGGTCTCCTGCTTTCTAGCCTGGTGCCTTAACTATTAGACCAAACTGGTTCTTAAAGTTAAGAGTACAGTTAGATTTCAGGCTGGCTATTGTTAGAATTTATGGCATATCAAGCAGGAGTCTCTTTTGTTAGCCAGCCAGACTTGGAAAGGGAAAAGGAAAAGCCCAGGGGAACAAGAAAACTGGGGATGGGGAGGGGGGGAGGGGGGAAGCAAAAAGTAATGGAATCCAGTAGCCCCAGAAAAGTAGCAGAAACTCCATAACGGTTGATTAGGGTTATTAAATTATAGTTTGTGATTAAACTTGTATTTTTGTAAGGGGGCTGCTTAACTGTCTAGCATAATGGAACAAAAAGCTATTTTGCTTTATAGCAGGATAAATATTCAGAGCAGAAAAATATTTGAGATCTCTGAAAATAGAAAGTTCTTTAATCTTAATCTTGTTTGACAATAGGATCTGTTTTTGCAAGCCATTCTACATAATGCTTCCAGATGCTGGAACATATTACTTTCCTTGGGAAATAAACTCTACTTCAGTACCGGAAGGGAAAGCCCTGAGAACATATGGCAGGTCAGTGTAGGTCTATTTTTTTTTAATCTGATCATTCTATTTTTCTTTAATTTGGTCAGTACAGTATTTGCTTATATACTTTATAATTGCTGCATCTGTTTATGCTTTCTGTAATTAGTGTTTGAGACAATGTCATTGATCTGATTTCCTGCCATCATTGGGAAATGGTTGGTTTTTTCCTTTCAATTATTAGATAATTTGTGGTAGAGAGTCCAAATCAAAGATGATCTGATATCCAGCAGTTTCAGGCTAGGGTCAGTAAGATGGCACCCAAAGATTAGCTGCCTGAAGCAGCAGCAGATGTAGGAGGGAGATCAAGCAGAAGTCCAATGGCAAGACATCATTCTCCATGGGATGTACTATCGACAGACATTGGGAAATCCTACCAGTGGCTGGTAAAGACTGAATTAAAAGACAGCACTGAGACACTGACCATAAGCAGCACAAGAACAAGCACCAAGCACCAGATCCATGGAAGCAGGGGTCTAGCACACTAGACAGGATCCAAGGTGCAGGCTATGCAGAGAGGCCTCAGAGACAGTCTAACCCATGGCAAGGTATAAGATGCAGGCAGGAAAAGCATACACTGAATGGCACAATCAAGTAACTGGCTGTCAACCGTCCCACTGGCATATGCAGCAAAAGAAACTCCTGGGGTGTTATTTTACCAAGAGTATAACTTTACTGATAGATCCATGTAGGCAAAACCAGTTCTGTCTTTTAGCGTGAAAAACTGTATAGCTGAAATCCCCTCCCCCCCCAGCCACCCTCTGTCCAGTGTCCTCCAATCCAGTGCAATCTCTTCGTTTTGGGAAACAGTCTGCTCTGCTCAGAAGGCTCCCATTGTTCAACCTTGAGGTGTCTAGATACTCCAGGCCACAGATGGTGCACATGAATTGCTCAACTTCCTCCCAGCCATCCATACATTCCAATTATTCCTAGTTTCTGTTGTCTGCTGCAAGCGAAAGGTGAGAGCAAATCAGCCTTGACACTAGCATTGCGTACATGAACATCTATACAAAATATGGGTCAGACCCTCCTTAAGTGCAAATGGGAGATCCCACAAAAAGTTGCAGAGAATAAGAAAGCTAAGATCCTATGGGACTTCCAGGTTTAGACAGGTACTGGCCAATCATCCAGACATTGTGGTGGTAGAGGAACGACCAGAAGACAACAGTGGTGATAGACATAGAAGTGCCAATGGTCAGCAACATCAGGAAGAAAGAGTTTGAGAAACTGGAGAAGTGTCAGGGCCTGAAGGAGGAACTGAAAAATAAAGCCCCAGTGGTGGTGGGAGTACTCAGAGTTGTCAGTACTCCAAAAGATCCTAGGAATGACATTAGAATTCTCTGTCCAGAAAAGTGCAGTGCTGGGAACAGCTAAGATATTGCCCAGAACCCCCAGACTCCTGAGATTGAGGAAGACGTATACCACCCATAAAGGTGAGAAGGGAATTTTTACATTTTAGTAGAATATGTTCGTGTGTGTGCGTTTGTGCGTGCATGGGTAAGTGTATGCCTTAGTGTTGTTGGGCTAATGTGGAGTTATCCGTATGTTAGGTGTTGATAAATTAGAAAAAAATAGATTCTCTTATCTTAAACAATTGGAAGAGTTGACTCTTCCTTTTCTGAATAGGGATTGAAGAAGGGATTTGAAAGGAAAGAAATAAAGACCATTTAAAAGAATGGCATTCTTTGCAATGGCCAAAACGTTAGACCGGTATTTTCTTTAACATAGGTTAATGACTATACTGTACTGAGCTGGGTTTGTATTTTACATTGAGCTATAATGTGGCATGATTCAATTTTATTTAGCACATGGTACGGATTTAGCTTAGAGATTTAATTCTAGCCAGTGTTATTGCAATGTTATTGGACTATGGGGTGCTAAGGTCCATGGGGTTGTGAAGAGTCGGACACAACTTAGCGACAACAACAGCAAAAAATGTTATTGCATTTGGACTGCATTCCTTTCAAATTTAGGCCAATAACTTGTCTTCAGTTTAGATCGATAACTTGCATATAAACGTTTTTCCAAATATTGTGTAGGTTGTTTTATATATTCTATTTCTGTCATACATTGTTTGACCTTTCTGTCTGTCTTACTATAATAAAAAATGACTAAAACATCTTTTTAACTACTATATTATTTGTCATGAATTAATATTTCTGCTCCCTACTCCATGATATATACTGTACATGATATTATCAGTATTGTGGAAATGAATATGTGTATCTTAGTTATTATCAATATCTGAAACTTTCTTTCAGACTTCACTCTTATGATATGGCCATTTCTCAAGCCATCTTAACAGCTCAGCGTGCTTCTGATCAGCACTGTATTCAAGTTTGCACCAAGTTTGTAGAACCCTTTCAGGCTCAGCTTGGGTCTTTGTATATTGTCCTGGGGGAAACTGAATTCAAGGAGGGTAAGGATATCTATGATTTTTAATTCTATGGGACCAAAATATCTTCAAATAAATATGAACAAATAGAACTATTCTTAAGGACTCAGAGAGCAAAAAATAAGTCAATTTATACTTTATACATAAAGGATGCTACTATGATAGGTTCTTTATAATAGGAAAAAAAGATGCAGATTCTGGGTCTGCCCTACCCCAGCCAGAAACAATGTTGGGATAATCCCAGAATTATGAGGCTTCTCAATTAAGTTACTCAATCTTACTTGGGTTGAATCTGAGTCTGTTTCTCTCTATCCAAAGAATTGAGATTGAGGGCATCCCATACTGGAGTGCCCAAGGACTGGACTTCTTCATAATCACCAATTAGAATCCTTTGCTTAGGAAGGAGTAGAACTACCATAGCACAATGCCCCCCATTCCCAAAATTTGCAGGTAATCCAGAATAATACTGTGGTTGACCATGTTGAAAGCTGCTGTGATCTGGCAAGACAAAGGTAGTTGCATTTCCTTCATTCATGTCCCAATGCAGGTCATCCATGAGAGGGACCAGTGTGATTTTCATCTTATGCCTAGGCTTGGATATCATTCTAGCTCAGTGTTCTCAATCTTTTTAATGCCATGACCCCAACCGGTCATAAGTCGAGGACTACCCAACCGGTCATAAGTCGAGGACTACCTAACCGGTCGTAAGTCGAGGACTTTCCCTGCCCAGGAGCGCCGTGCATGTGTGGTGCCGCCCCCTCCACCGGCCAAGGTGTAGCTGGCAAGCGATAGAGACGGCACAGGCCAACCACCGGCTGGGCCACCAGCTGGCCCAGCCCAAGGGAGATAAGGCACCCACCGGGCCCCACGTGCACCAGTAACCCTCCCTGTGCCCGCCGGCCTCCCACCTCCCACCCCTGGCCCTCTTTTACTTACATTTTTAATAGTTGCTCAGCAGGGAGGGGTGGAAACTTCCAGACAACTCGCCTTCGCTGCAGACAACTTGCAGCACCGTTTGCAGAATGGGACTTTTGGCAGACTTAGCAGGGTAAAGACAGCCTGGACAATTCCTATTGGCTTTTGAAAGCCAATAGAATTAGACTCTATTCAAGAGAGTCTATTCTATTGGCTTTCAAAAGCCAATAAAATAAAAGGGAGTAGAACAGCTAAGGAAAAGGGGGAAAAAAATGGCAGACTGCGTTGTTTGGTGACCTCCGTGAAATGGTCATTCGACCCCAAATGGGGTCCCGACCCACAGGTTGAGAACCACTGTTCTAGCTATTCCTACTCAATAATAAATACTATATGTAGTCAAGAGAAGAACCATTAGTGCAACAGTTAATGTCAGAGTTCCTACTAAGACATCTTTTCTTTATTCACAAAGAAGTGCTGGTAGGGAACTATTGAGGTAGGAGTAGATAGCTATCTTGGAAAGCTCAGGAGAATTTAAAAAGATTGGGCTAAACAAAGCTGGGCTTCATCACACTATCATCTGCCCAGAAACTTGAGCAACAAATATTTCAATATTTTTCTGTGAATTTGGAAGGTTGCAATAGCACCAAATACTTTAGAGGGGAATTGTTGAGTAGCGGAGTTCTGCTTCTGAGGCCTCAGGGGCAAAATATATCTTCATATGTTAATGATTGAATAGCAAAGTTCTTCTGAGCCTTGGGCAGGGCACATCTTCATATATTAATAGTGGAAGCGTATTCATGATTACAATACTTTCAACTCACACAGATTATATCTGCCAGGTATGTCATGCCTTGTTCTGCTGGTGAGATATTGATGTTGATCTGAATAATTCCACTTTCTTCCTGGGGGATTGTATGATTACGTTTAACAGTGTGACTTTCAGTAGATAATGTGTAGACAAAGCACCTGAATTTTTTTCTTTATTTTTCCTACTTGCTTATTTCTGTTTTGATTAGGATTTGAGACCTTTCTTTTGTAGACCTGTTTTTAAAACTCAGGTCGGAGAATCAGAGGGAAATATGGAACGAAAAAGATGGGAAAGTTAAAATATTTTGCCTGTCCTGCAAAGGGCTTCTTCCATGCCACTTGTTTTTTTATACAGTAATTTTATTAAAATGTGATAATAAAAACTAATAAAACTAAAAAAGGAGAAAGAAAAGAAAAAAATAAGAAAAAAGAAAAGAAAAATATACAAAGGAAGTTTACTACCTCTTAAATATAATAAATTATATTTGTCCAAATTAAAGTATTTTGCTTCATTCTGTATTTGTGAGTTAAGTATCAGTGTTCTTTAATTATACTATTTAGTTCTTTCTAGTTCACGCTAATGTCCAACTTCCAATATCCCATCTTATCATATTTTGTTTAAAAAAAGAATTCAAAACAAAAGCATTTTTCCACGAGGAAAAAGAAATTCCAAAAGATCTTGTTTTAAATTTCTCTGGACCCTTAGTTTGTTTGTAACTTTAAAATCAAAGTTCTACTCATCCTTTTGCTATTTATTTAAAAAAACATTTTCAGTGCTTAAACTTGTATTTAAAACTTCTATAAATGATTGATGGAAACTCACCCAATGCATTCAGAGTTGTCAATCCAAAGCAGTTGACAAGCAATTTCTGAAAGTGATTAGAAAAGAAAATATGCGAAACAGTATCCTTTGGAAAGTTCCAAGTGTGATTTGAGCAAGATGGCTATTCCCTAATCCAGCGGTTCTCAACCTATGGGTCGCAACCCCATTTGGGGTTGATTGACCATTTCACAGGGGTCGCCAAGCAAGGCTGTCCGCCATTATTTTCCCTTTTCCGGCCGGTGCCTTACCTCCCTTGGGCTGGGCCAGCTGGTGGCCCAGCTGGTGGTCAGCCTGCTCCGTCTCTGCCGCTTGCGAGCTACGCCTCGGCCGGCGCAGGGGGTGGCACCACGCATGTGCGGTGCTCCTGGGCAGGGAAAGTCCTCAATTTACGACCGGTTGGGTAGTCCTCGACTTATGACTGGTTTAGTCCTCGACTTACAACCGGTTTAGTCCTCGACTTACGACCAGTTGGGGGTCACGGCATTAAAAAGGTTGAGAACCACTGCCCTAGTCTTTCAGGGCACTAAACCTGCTGGAAACTGCTGTCTTGCAGTTCCTTCAAGATGAGCAAATGTCTTGAGCACTTGTGGGTGATTTCCTTGTTTGGAGAGGAATTATCAAAGAGCAGGTCTACTTGCCAGATCTTCATTTTACTGAGATGATCGGCTCTGCTTTTCATGGAGCCCTCTTTGGTCCACCATTTCTTCCCTGGAAGTCCAGCACCACTTTTCAATGTAAAAGCTGCAGGTATACAGTTTGGTTAATTGCATATTAGGAAGTTCTTTTGAATGCTGGAAAAATATAATATCTATGCTACAGATAGGCTGGCCAATAAATTTTATAAATAAATAATAAGTTTTCAAAAATGAACAGTATCTTTCTACTTGCTATACATAGCCTCATATTCAGTGCTTTTTTTTCTTAAAAAAAAAAGGGTGCCAGAACTCGCACACATCATACAACCCGCCTTGCCTACCCTACAAGGTTCCATCCAAAAAAGGTGCCGGAACTCCGTTCTGGGTGTTCTATGAGAAAAAAAAGCCCTGCTCATATTATGTCAGTTGTTATTGAAGAGCTTAATTTGAAGGATTAAAAAAAAAAGAAAGGTCACTGCTTTTCACGTGTTGTGAGACTGAATATCTGCTCAAAGGTTAAATGAGAAACATCCTTTATGAGTATAAAACTGATTTATTGTAGCTTGGAACAAGTAGTACAAGCATATTTGTCATTTCCAGTTCTTGTAGTGTACAGATTTGTTCTAGTTGGGTGAGGCTTTCCACTATATGCACATTGTTGGTTATGTTTCTTCTGTGAACTCCATGAATATTTGCATGGATGCAGAAAGAATTGCATGTATTGCTTTGAATATAGTTTCCCAAAGAGGAGAAAAGAACAGAGAAAACAGAATGACTGATGTATATGCCATAGATTTAGATCTCTTTGGATCTACACTCCACTTTAAAATTTTATTCCTCACTGTTTGTGCACTCTGAAATGTACTGTCACCTGCACTTTGCAAAATAGCAGTTGTTAGGCCCCCTTTGAAGACCTGTCTCATCATCTAGGTCTTGTACATATGAATTTTCTCTCCTACCACCTTTTTTTTTTTTAATTGAAAATTTTTATAAATTTTTACAAAAAAACAGAAGAATAACAATACAACAAAAACATAGACAAGAAACAAAACAAAACAAAACAACCCTTTCCCTACCCCCCCCCCGAAACCCCCACTCCCTCCCCCCCCGGAGCTTCCCAGAGCAGAATATAGGCTTAATTAAAAAAAAATAAAAAAGTTATATGAAAAAAGAGAGTATAACTAAGATATATGTATGTATATAAAAATAAGAGTTATAAAAAAGCTAAATAATATTTTTATATCCAATTTAAATTGTATAAACTTTATCCATTTATCCCAAACAGCAAAAAATTTCTCTTGCGATTGTTCTTTTAAAAAGGCCGAAATCTTTGCCATTTCCGCCAAATAAGACACTTTAAGAAACCATTCCTGCAAAGTAGGCAAAGATTCCTTTTTCCAGTATTGTCCTACTAACAGCCTTGCGGCTGTAATCAAGTTTAACATCAATATAACCTCCTTTGTGTCACAATCAGTAACTATACGTAACAAAAATAATTGTGGAGTAAATTTTACCCTCCTTCTAAAAATTCTTTGAATATTCCACCATATCTTAATCCAAAAGGCTTTTATATTTCTACACGACCACCAAATGTGATAGTAGGTGGCATCCAAACAACCACATCTCCAACATTTAGGCTGTAGGTCAGGGTACATAAAAGACATTTTTTGTGGGTCAAGGTGCCATCTATAAAACATTTTATAAAAATTCTCCCTTAAATTCTGTGCTTGTGTAAATTTAACATTTCTCACCCAAATGGTTTCCCAGGTATCCAGTAGGACTGGTTCACCAAAATTTTGCGCCCATCTGATCATACAATCTTTAATTAATTCTGTTTCTGAATC